GTCTTCTTTGGTGAAGTGTCTGTTCATTTCCTTTGCCCATTTTTTAATAGGATTATTTGTCTTTTTGTTGTAGAGGTGTTGCATTTTCTTGTATAGAAATCATTTTTGTGTGTACTTTATAACTAACACTTTTTTATTAAAAGTGCCTCCCATCTTAAAAAATTTCTATGGAATTAATTCAGGGAATGGCATCCTCTGATTCCTTTTATAGTAATGTTCATACATCTTGAATATATGAAATGGCCATGCATGGAGCTTGAATAGTGGTTATATCCCTAAAGTATTCTTAACTCTCTCCTGCTTGCTGCCCCATCCCCACTTTTCTCAAAAGCATAATTGGCATTGAAGATAACATTCTTAAAGCTATACCAGCAGTTGGCCAGCTACAGCCTCCTAGTAAAATGTGGCCCACAACCTGTTATTGTACAGCTTATGAGCTAAAAATGGATTTTTACATTTTTTTAAGGGTTGTAAAAAGATGTATATATGCAATAGAGAACTTACGTGATTCACAAAGTCTAAAATACTTACTATTTGGCCCTTTACAAAAAAAAACATTGCCAATCTCTGATATATACCAGTTGCTAGAATAAAGGTATCAAATCCTCTAAACAGTCTAAAATTTTTCCATTCAGTTGTTCTAAGAGTAAATTCAGAGAGTTACGTACTTGCCTGGACATATATTTGTTATAACACTCTATACATGGATGTACTGACAGTGCAAGAAGAGAGGAGACAAATGAAATCCCACACTTAATGACTCCTGTATTCTATCTAATCTGTTTGAGAAAGCATGATAGTCTCATTTATATCTTCATATTTTTGTCCCCAGACAAAATGCAAAATAAGCAAAGTTTATATTTTCTTGAGTACCCTTCACTCCTCACACCTAGCACAGTCCCAAAAGTCTCTAGGAATAGGAAAAGTGTATAGTAGAAATGTACGTGCTTTGGCACCTGGGCTTTCAACATATCTGGGGAGTTTTATGGGTCTAACAACCTGAGATATACATGCAATTTTGTCTTTTCCTTAAAACCGTGGCCAAGCAACAGAAAGTAGTGGTACAGTCAGTGGTTGGTCTCCACTAACTGTTATAAGTGATCATTCTTATAACAAACATAAAAACCTAGTACTTCTGAAAGTGCCTTTTCCTAATCAGTTGAGGTAGTTGGAAAAGTGACACTTCGACAGCACAGTTTAATTATTACCATTTGTCAATGTATTTGTTAAAGCCAGTCTTTTATAATTTCTTAAAATAATTTTTTCTTAAGGATATTTTTGCCCCAGATAGTATTTTAATTTCTCAAAGTCTTTGCATCAGCATAAGGAAGAGTAATAATTTTTTATTTTTTAATGCTTAACTTTCTACATATAGCAGCCAAGAAGTTAAAATAAAAGAAGCTGAATAACAAAGGGAGAAATGAAACTAAAACTTGCATATCATAAATGCTGCTGGTTCATCATCAGATTGTACTTAAATATTTATCTGTAGATTCTTTGCCGCTTGGGTTGAAAAGATGAAGACAAATGGAATGTTTAAAACCTTTCATGAAATCTCATTATTGAGCCATAATTTCAGAGTATTTTTCTTAAATTACTAAGTAACGCTATTTATCATAGTATGAGAAATAGTAGCAAAAATCTTAACTTAAAAGTTTATATTCTGTGATCATAAAATCTACTAATTTTTTTAAACATTTATTTTTAACCACCTTCTATATGTCAGTGAAGGTGCCCTGCTGGCATAAATGGTTAAGCACTTGGCGGCTAACCAAAAGGTCAGCAGTTCGAATTTACCAGCTGCTCTGCAGGCAAAAATACCTGGTGATCTGCTTTCATAAAGATTACGGCCTAGGAAACCCCATGGGGTCATATAGGATCTCTGTGAATCAGAATCGACTCAGTGGCAATGAGTTTATGAGTCAGAGTTGACTCGATGGCACACAACAAGAGCAATATATGTCAGTGACTAGCCTAAATGCTAGAACCGTATAGAGAGATTTTTCTCTCTCTACCTTTTAGGAGTACCTGATCTAATAGAAAAGAAAAATAAATTTTAAAAAATCATTATAATATGATAACTGCTAAGATTTTGGTATGTGGGAGCCTAGAAGAGAAGTGCCTTACTCTGTAGAAGAGGCCAGGGAGATTTTGTGAAGGGAGATGATATTTGAGTTGAATTTCAAAGGATGAATAGCAGGCAAAATGGAGAGAGAGACTTGCAAATACTATAGTTTGTGTTATAATAAACATTATTCTTACCTTTCCAAAAACCATTGAGTCGATTCTGACTCATAGCAACCCTATAGGACAGAGTAGAGCTGCCACATAAGGTTTCCAAGGAGTGACTGATGGATTCAAACTGCTGACCTTTTGGTTGGCAGCGGAGCTCTTAACTACTGCACCACCAGGACTCCCATTCTTAGCTTTTAAAAAAAAAAAAACAAAAACCAAACTCGTTGCTGTTGAGTCAATTTCTACTCATAGCAACCCTATAGGACAGGGTAGAACTGCCTCATAGGGTTTCCAAGGAGTGGCTGGGGGATTCGAACTGCAGACCTTTTTGTTAGCAGCCTGAGCTCTTAACCACTACGCCACCAGGGCTCCGTTCTTTAGGGTCCATGTAATACAAAATTAAACACTTAGAACAGAGATAGCACTCTCACATTAGCTGTGACTCTTTATCTGAGGCAGCTTATGTTAAATAATTTTTAGAATAACATCCTAAACCAGAGTAGACTTGGGTTTCTTGTCTTTATTTACCAGAATGAAAACTAAGCTTAAAATGTACATATTGCCAAGATAGTGGATGACCTGATTCTGTGATGACTATTTGTCAAATCTGTAAGATTTACTGTTTTAGATGTCTAATTCATAAGCTACTATTGGATTATGAAATACAAAATAATACTGTGATTGCTTTGAGTATTCGTTTAGTGGTGCACTCAAGACAGTATTGTATAACAAGTTATTGTTCATGTCTTAAATACCGTTGATAAATATTTACTGTGAGGAACATAGACTTCTAAAGAAAAGATCTTCAGATACTAGATTAAAAGTCTTAAAGTGTTCGAATACAGATAAAATCTGTGACTTTTAAAATTTTTAAAAATGATAATAACATATTAGAAGTAAAGTAAATTAGGAGCTCCTTATATAGGCTGGTTAAAAAATAATTCTTAAATACCCCTCTTCCCCCCACCCCACATGCCTTTGGTTTAGACCACAGAAAAAAGGAGACTGAACTGTAGGCACCTGGTGTATGGGGGATTGATTATTAGGTGAATTGGCTTTAGGAAAATTGACCTGGAGTTTCAAAAGTATAAAATAAGTTTTCAAAAGAAATTATATAAGAATGAGAAAGGAGTTTACTGTACTATTCATTTTTTCTGTTAAGCTCAATGAATGAATGTGAATCTCAGCACACCTTTCTGTTAATACAGATGCTAAACTCAGTTTAGCCTTAAAGAAGTTTTACTTCTCCAAATGATTTTAAGAGTAAACTATATAAAGTATAATGCCCTGATATAAATGTAACTTTAACTTTAGTAAAGCTACTGTGTTTCATGACTTACACTTAGGAGTTGTTAAGACAAATGAGCTCACAAATACTGTATGATCTCATTTATATGAAATAAGCAAACATATAGAAACCAAAGATTATTAGTGGTTACCAGGGATGGGAGGGAAGGGGAAAGAGGGAGCTTTTGTTTGTGGGACATTGAGTTTTTGTTAATGGTGGTGGCATGTTTTGTATGAACATATCCATAATGGTGGCACAAAATGAAAAATGTAATCAATATCATTGAGTTGTAAATGTAGAAGTTGTATTGGTGAATGCTTCAATAATTTTTTGAATAAATGAATAATGAAGAAAAGGTCGAGAGCTCAACCTGCCCTAACATGAGTGGTTCTAACAATATTCTGTACTAGATTTTGATAGTACTGAATCAAAATAATCTACAACCTATTCAACACAATATAAAAAAGAGAGGAAAAAATTTATGAAAATGTTTATGTTTGATATGTTTTGCTCATTTATCTTTGTTCAGATTCTCTGTTGCTGTAAGAAACAGTGATACTTGGGGACCTACTGGAACTTTACCTCTCTCAACCAATGCACTGAAAGAACTGATTCTTCAGTTCTACTGGTGTGGTTGGGTTCTCAAGGGAGTGTAGGGAGTCTGGCAAATAGGAGAATGAGAATAGAGTAAACCTATAGGGACTAGAGTTAATTTTTTCTGTACGCACAGGTTACATTTTAGAGTACATTATAGGCCTGTGACTGAAGGAAAATACATAAATTTATTTCTGATTCTAGTTTGTATTAGACTTATTTCTAAAATAGCCTAGGAGGAAAATGATAGATTCTTTATGATTTAACATATCTAAAGTTTACTTAATGTGTCTTTATGTTCTATATTACTTATTTCTAACTGTTAGCTTTTGATGTTATAAACATTTATGCTTTTCTCTTCTAGAAGCCGCCAGTGTCCAACAGAAGGCCAATTTCTCTGAAGAAGGTAAAGTATTTTTTTAATTATGCAATTATATTCTAAATATTTTTCTTACTATATTAGAAGCAATTTTGATAGGTACTTATGAGGTGAGAGCAGAAAATAGTGTCTTTTTACTTAGAAAAAGATATTTACGCTTATATGAACTACTAAGTGACAGGTAAGAAAATAGGATAGAATAAGTGATAGTAGCCTTCATGTACATTTTAAGCATCTTTTGTCTATTTGAGTTAATAATTTTAAGCAAATATAATATTTGCAGTTTCTCGTATGTTTGTGCCTTTGATTTTATTATTAAAATAAAATTTTCGTAGCCAGTCTGGCTAGTACAGGAGTAAAATTTAGTCCATTTTTAAGCCCTGCATAATCTGAGATTATTCACCTAAATACTGAAATTGTGTGTGTGTGTGTGTGTGTGTGTGTGTGTAGGGGGTGTATACACACACACATACATACATACACTGATCTTGATGAATTTAATTACACACTAACTATAGGTAGTTTTTCCTCCCATAAGGCAAAAACTTTCCACTATTTAATATTTATTTATTTTTGATTCTACATTAAAGCTTCTGAGTGTAGTGTTTAGGATAAAGCTATGTGCCTCAAAGAACACAAAATAAATGAGCTCACTTTTCACACAGTTAAATTTTGATTCAAAACAGTGAGCATAGTAAATAGCAATTCCATATCTGATTATCAAGTAGCCTTCATTTTAATGTTGAATTACTTTAATTACTTGATTTTGTTGTCGTTTTTTTATCTAGATCTTTTTAGCATTATAATAAAGACTATACTACTGTGGAAACCCTGGTGGCATAGTGCTTTAGTGCTATGGCTGCTAACCAAAAAGTTGGCAGTTCGAATCCACCAGGTGCTCCTTGGAAACTATGGGGCAGATCTGATCTGTCCTATAGGGTCGCTGTGAGTCAGAATCAACTCGACGGCAACAGCTTTGGTTTGGTTTTTTTTATACTAGTATGTTCTTCACTTTTTTTTTTTTTTTTTTAAGGAGAAACTGAGGAAGACGATCCAGACAGTTCTGAGAGTGATGTTACTGCTGGTAAATTCAGATCCGGGGATTCTGTTGAGTCTGGAGGTGACACTGCTTTAAGATATGACTCTTACCTTAGGAACTATCTTTTTAGTTAAAATATAAAAGTATTCTGTGAATTTGCTTTTTTTAAAGTATACTTTTAATTTTTTTTTTTAATTTTTTAATTGTGCTTTAAATGAAGGTTTACAGAACAAATAGTTTCTCATTAAACAGTCAGTACATGTATTGTTTTATGACATTGGTTAAGAACCCCACGACGTGTCAACACTCTCCCTTCTCGATCTTGAGGACCTTTTTTTTTGGTGAAAACATACATAGCCAAAGTTACACCATTTCAAAAATTTCTACATGTACAATTCAGTGACATCAATTACGTTCTTCCATCTGTGTGGCTATTTTCGCTATCCTTTTCCAAATTATTCCATCAACATTATCTTCAACTCACTGTCCCCTAGGCTTCCCATCAAACCTTTTGAGTTGCTGTTGTCAATTTGATCTCATATAGATAATTCTTTTTTTTTTTTTTTTGT